GGGGGGGGGGGGGATACTGTGTAACAGGAAACAACATCGTAAGGTAGGAAATAATGTAAATTTCTGTGACCACCACTTTATTTAGCAAAAATCTTTAAGTATACATTTCTGAGTTTACACTGGGTAGGTTGTGCCCCTTCTTAATTGATTTAAAATAAAACACTAAAAACTCTCCGATTAACTTGGCTGTTTGCATATGTTGTCAGCTAATTTCCATGTTTTTAATTTATCTGTAACCTGCAACCTGTGGGTACCAGGTTTCCCTTAATTATATAATAGAGATTTCAATCAGGAGATAGAAAAGCTGCTTAACTGTGGAATCAAAGCAGGCTTATTAATGCTCTCTGCTTGTATTTTGAGGCTTTTGATTTTCATTAGAGGATATCAGAGGAAAAATAGCTTCAGATAGGGTAAATACTTGTGAAAATTGTCAGCATTTTGGTCAGCACTCATGATCTCTGAGTATGGGTAGATAGTGTTATCTCCAATGATTCTGTGGAACAGTTCAATAGAGATTTTTGAAAAGAACATAATTAGGAAGGTTCAAACCGCTTCAGCATTGACAGTTTGTTGAGTTTTCAGGGTTTATATTTGAAGTTTTTTACATAAACTCTTAGATTTTCCTCTGTGAAATAACTTTTTACTATTTTAAAAAGAACGTGTGTAGCAATTTTTGCCATAGGGAGGCTTTAAGTTCTTTTCACATCACAAACTGATTGATAGACTTTCTCTAATCCTGTAATTCATCTTTGTTTAAATAATACTCAAAATTCTTAGTTAGTCTTGGTGCTGGTATCTTTTGGGGAGTTTTACACCTGTCATGTTGAAGAGAGTATGCGTTGTTTCCTTCCAGTGACTCTCTAACTTTTGTGGTAATCAGGCTTATGCTTTTAAATGTGTTAAGTATGCCAAAAATTGCCAGTGTACTTGGTTTGGTCTGTAGTTTACCCTGCTAGCTGAGAAGAGCTTCTGGAAAAGAAGCCCTTCTTCAAATGAAGACAAGATAAGGGATGTGCAGACACATGCATCTTTTTCCTGTTTTATAAAGTGATGGATGCCCTAATCCAACTACTGTTGTGAGGTTACGAAAGAACACAAATCATTTTTCTGTCCATTTTACACATCCAGTCCTCACTGAAGAGAGATGTGTAGTATTTGTAGGCCGTTATTGATCTCCTGTTCCTCAGCTTCACCCACAACTTCCTTACATTTAAAGATGTAGTTACATATGCTAGGAGGAGAGAGGGTGAAAGATCCCAGAGCTTGGCAGAAAGTTTGTAAGCATTCTTGAAGCATGCATCAGAGGCCATGTGACCCAACAGTATGCATTTTGGTAGGATACAACTTTCAGAGAATTGCAGTTACAGGTGAGCAAAATATCTTCCTGTATAGTTTGTATCTTATTACATATAGAAATTAGTAAGTTTGTATCTTATTACATATAGAAATTAGTAAGTGTTGCATAATGCGATAATATTTCTGTTTCTGTTCATACCTAGATATTAAGCACCGTCGACTGCCTATTCTCTTCTTTGCTAACAAGATGGACCTCAGGGATGCAATATCATCTGTGAAAGTATCTCAGTTACTGTCATTAGAAAACATTAAAGACAAGCCCTGGCATATCTGGTAAATTTTGGGTTTTTTCTACCCTTTTTATTGGTATTATTTTGTACATTCATATTTTAACTCTTATTGTCCCACTCAGTATTATATAACATAAATTAGATCAACCAGATAAAATGCTGTGCTGCCACGTGTAGTAGTAATATTACAATACTTGCTATCAAACGTTTTAAACACACAATGCATTCATGTAGACTGTGTCTTGAAAATTTTCACAAATACCCAAATAACAAAATGGAGGACTACTAGTGAAATCAGAAAGTAGTGTTCTTATCAGAATAGCTGCTAATACTTTTTGCTGGGAAATTGAGTTGAATTGTTATTGGAATGCTGCTGTTAGTTTGTCTTGCAAATTTCAGAATATCAACAATAATACCTTTTGAGTTGTTTTTTCCCACTCTGCAGATGCTTTAGTAAGCTACTGTTCAAAGGCCATTGAGTAAACTGTTCTTGTGTGAATTCAGAGGGGCACAGTACTCTTTGTACCATATAATGCTTGAAGGAATTGTAGGAGCTAGTGTCTCTTCTTTCTGAAGGATGTAAGCTTTCATGTAAATAGAAGAGTTTTGTGCCAGTGTTCACAAGGAAAAAAACTCTCCTTTTTATCATAGTGTTTTACAGAAGTTAGATTTTTGTCTTCTTGAAGTCCTCAGATGTTGTTAAATAAAAGTTGTATCAGTAGCTAAATGCTGCTGGAAAACACAACTTTCATTTTAGGCTTTTTAATATTAAACTTGATTCCCTGGGTGTGGTTTTGGAGTCACTGCTTTTCGTTTCAGATTACACTGATGAATTTCCAGGCTCCTTGGAAGGTAATTTTATAGCTAAGCACAGTAACAGTTCACATTCACTCCTGTGCTAGCTTTCATGAGCTGAAGAATGAGGGGCCTTTAGACAGTTGTATCCCTGTGAGTCAGAAGGTAGATTTACACTGTTCTCACTGTAGCTTAAATATATCAATCTTAATGTGGCTTAATATATATTTATAACATACACTCCTAGAGTTGCTGCTACAGTGAAGTGTGTACACACTATACTTTCTTCCTCCGGTACTCCAGCATTCTTGCTGTGTATAGGAACTGCGTGGGAGGACGGTTGGACTAGATGATCTTAAAGGTCTTTTCCAACCTCAGTGGTTCTATGATTCCTCACTGTTGTTATAGGTAGTAAATATCTTTTATGGTACAATCTGAGGAGGGAGTTATCTAAGGGGAGTACAATCTGAGGAGGGAGTTATCTAAGGGGAGTTGCCACAGAACAATGCAGCTGGCTCGTGTGGGAGCTCTTCCCGAACCCCTTATGTTCTAGGAACAATTCCTCTGCCTTGAAATTGGAATTAAAATAGATCACATCTTGAAATGGTGTTTCCAGATTAGGAAGGTACTCCAGAATATATTATTTGAGAAGCAGCCTTCTCCACGTGAAGAAAACTTAAGTTAATTGTACTTGATGCTACTTTGCAGTTCCGTAAATTACAAGTATGATGATTCTACTAAAACCTGCATTTTTACAATGTTTTCATAAATTGATTTGTTTCCTTCAGTGCCAGTGATGCTCTTAAAGGAGAAGGATTACAAGAAGGTGTAGATTGGCTCCAAGGTATATCATACGTAACTCTCTTGCTCTATTTTCATTCTCCAAAACTTATTCATTTTGTAAGATTTTTTTTTTCTTTATTATTTCCTTTGTTTTCTTTCTGTCCACTTCTGCTGTCAGATCAAATTACAGAGTGAGTACTGATGTTCTATCTCATTTGCCTTTAGTTTGGGTCCTTAATGTACACAAAACATCATGTCAGTTTCTCTGACAAAACTGCATGAAATATTAATGCATAATCTTGCAGGGTAGCACTTTCTACTCAATCATACCAGCTCCTGCAATTCAGTTGATTATTGTCGTAGTTCAGTTTCTTCTTTATTCTTCCAGTCCTGTCCCTGTTTTACATAATGTTATGTACCAGGAAATGGTGAAAAAGCAGACTAGAAAAATAAGCAAAACACACAAATACATGAGTTTTGATTATTCATCTTAAGTTCTTTAGAGCCAAAATAAGAATAGCTTACATCATAACCATCATAGAATATGCAGATACCTATAGCCACATAGAAAATACCAGATCCATCTTGGATGATGTAGTACATACACATTTTAATTACAGATTTAGTATGGATGCCATATATCCTTCTATTGTATGTTGGTAAGAGTCTGGTCTCTTTTGTCATCCCACGTACCGCTAAATGTATAGAATAGTGAAGTGTGGTATTGTTTTGGTAGACTCGTTCCTTCCACTGTGAGTGTATGAGGTAGCGTAGTACAATCGGCATCCGCGTGAGGGTTTGTGTGGCGGCATGTTCTGTGCTGAGGCAGCCGCTAGATGTCAGTGACCGACAAGAGCCGGTGCCACTGAACTCCGTTCCTGCAAAATGCACCTAAATAACACCCAGCATTGTCCCTGATTTAACATGTTCCATTTATCTATGGATACCAGACTGTCCTTTCTAATTAGAATCCTTACTGCTAATTAAAAAGAGATGGTTTATTTTACTGTGTTATTACAGAATACAAAAACATTTGGTCATGTTTTCAGAGAAAGGAATACTAGCCAAAAATAGTCTTTACAAAGAGATTTACTGCCCTACAGAACACTGATGCATCCTCCACCATCTAAGAGTTCTGTGGTGAAGAACCAGCATCTTACTACTGAGTTTCCTTCACTCCTGTATGCTGCTATCATAGAGGCAGATTCCAAATCACGTACTCTTTCCTAATTTCAGGCATAGTTCTGATTTTTCAATATTTTCCTGTGATTTTCAATGTCTCTGCTTATCTTTGAGGAGCCTTCTAAGTTTCAGTCAAATTTTGAGTTGGTGGTTTTGTACGTAGCTTCAAGCTACTTAAAATTATCTCTAATGCTTGTCTAAATATTTTTCTGACAAAATATTTAAGTTGTATATGTAGATTTTTAAGTACAGTAAGGAGGAGCTTCTGTATAGCTCTTCACTTCTCATGGATTGTTAAATTGCTTCATTTTCTGAGCTGAAATTCTTCATGGATGAGCTTTATCTAAAAATTTCCTTTAACTCCCTGCTTCATTGTCCCTAAAAGCCTAAGAGGGGCTGGGTTTAAACTTGTATTGTTGCCTAAGCACTTGCAGTTTGGCAGTTATACTTTTAATGGATTAAGACTTTGATATTTCAGGAACAAATTTTTACTATGATTCTCCTCCTTGTTTGTAGAGCACTAGAGAGAACTATTTGGAACAACTCTTAAGTTATAGTGGTCCCCAAATGACAGCCTGTGGATGCCATAAAATTCAGTGGAGGAAATGACACCTGATTAATGAATGCACAGCTCTCCTCATCAACAGCATTGCTTTCCGTAGTTACCTTTTGCATACTCAAACTAGATAAGGGGCAACAGGGGCAGAAAGTTTTGCCTTTTTCCCCCTAGTGAAGGCTGCGTTTGCATATTTTCCTATTTTGTAATGGGGTTGCTATTGCAACAACACATCAGCAGAGTAAAACTAACCTGTCTCTCGGCAGTTTAGACCCAGCTCACGTTCCCTATTAGTGGGGCAGATTATGCTGACTTCCACATTCTGTAATGGCGATGCAGTACATTTATGTTAACGAACGAAAAGTTAGAAGTGAATTGAGAAGTGGCAATCAGGCCACAATGGAGAAGTGCAGCTACTGAGAGCAAAGAAGCTTTCATGCGAGTTATTCAAAAACAAACTAAATCCTTTGCTATTGGGGAATTAGTTCATGTTCAGTTATGTGGAAGCTGAAATGTGTACAAGAAATTGAAATGCATACTTCATGAAGTAAACTTCCAGGCCTTATTTTCATCAATGTTACCTTATAAGCACAAAAAAGATAAAAATTGAATTATGTGGAAGAGTCTTTCTGTTCAGTCAGCAACATTTGGGGGAAACAACTTGGCTGGGGAGGAGTTTCAGAAGTGGATGAAAGTTGAAAACAACGCTTACTGCATTGTCCCCCATTCTTGTAACTACACCAAAATATCTGTTGGTGTAGTTCTGTAACCTGAACAATACTGGATTACATTTTCAAAGAGCAAAAGATATTAAGAATTCATCTAATATTAAGACTAACTTTCTTTTTATTGACAGATCAAATCCAAGCAGTGAAGACGTGAGAGACAGATAAAAGATGTATGGCATTCTTTTATAAACTTGGTCAGTAGGTGTACAAGTTCCTTGGAAAGGAAGAATGATATAAAGAAAATGAACCATTCAGCTAAAATATACTGTGTTGACTTGTTTTCTTTTAGTATCTCTTCCAGGAAAACTGAATGTAGGCAACATAGCACCTCAGGTATACACATTGATGAATTAAATTGAATCTTGTGACTGGAGACCACATTTAAAAAAAAAAAAATTGTGTTACCAATAAACATCTGCATTCATATGAGTTTTAGGTGATGATTAGCCATCGGGAAATGCCCTCTTTTTGGGGGGGGACACCTTTTGACCAAATGGAAATATTTATTTTCCTGAGCAAGAATAATCACTTCCTGAAATACAGCTGCATGAGATACCTAAAACGTTGTAGGTATTTCTGCAATTTTTTTATTGTAAAGTTTGATGCTGGGTTTTTAGTAACCATCTACAATAGGCTTCTAGGGGGATATTTTGACTTAAGACACAAGTATTCAAATGCTGTGTATTTGTTATAGAAGGTTGCAGATGTTTTTAAGGAACTGCTTTTAATGAAATGTTATGAATTGGTTTTGTGATGTGCCATGGTTATATTTGCATTCCCATCAATAAAACTTCAGATATAAAACATGCCATAGTTTGTTTTTTCTAACTTAAATATGTTCATTGATAGTCTTAACATCTTGGAAATTTTTGGTTTTCTGTTCATTTTATTTGTAATTTGCCCATTTTCCAATTGAAATAGCACTGTATGCTGTAATAAAACGGTATCACTTTTGCAAAGCTTTTTTTTTTAACTGCATATTTATTGCACTTTCTAATAAACTGGACTGCTCTTGCAGATATTTAAGGAGCATATGGTTGAAAGTTAAGGGACAGTTCACTAGTTCTTTGGATCATTAATATGAATTGTGTTTTTTACTTCTGTTGTGTATAAAAACGGTTTTACTTTTAAGAATAATTTTTAATAAACTTTCTGATTTCAAAGATGTACCATAGGTAACATTAAGCCAATGCTAAGAACTTTGTCATGCCACCTTATCCCCTTTAATCCCTCCTACCTTGTCCAAGAAACAAGCAGCCTGGCACTGGGAATGATGAAGACTGTATTTAACTGATTAGCTCCTTCCTGTGGGAAATGTAATATGTGGGTCCTGCAAAAGCTACCCCCCCATAGCATATAAAATACACAAATGTTCTGTAAGCATGCCTTTTAGGGCTCACTTAATAAAGGAATATTTGGAGCAAAGGGACCTTCCTAAAAGGATAGAAGACCTTAATGTACTTTCAGTTCTTATTAAACAGTTAATTAACTCCCCTGCTTTGCTAGAGGGAAGTAATCCCTACTGTAAAACATCTTTCTTACAGGACGCTGTAATTCTAACAGTTCGGTTTGTCATGAAAGTGTTCATTGTTCATGTCTCTTTCTATAACATCATTGGCCTTCTGTCAACTCTGAGTCTAAATATCTATACAAAATCAAATATGAAGGAAGAAAAATCATGTAGTTCTGAGATGTTTTTCTAACTGTTCAGATGTTTTTCTATATTGTGGGGCAGATAACTTTCTGGTTTACTTTGCACTGGTTAATATGGTAACAAAAATAATACTTGTTGGAAACATCTTTTGCTGAGTATTGTAATTCTTTTGGTTCACATATATGGCATATTCAAATTAAAAAGTTAAATTTCAGTTGGCGATAATTTTTTTTTCTCCTGCCAAAGAAAATTTAAGTTCTTACATAAAATCTGTGTTTCTGACTTTCTTGAGTAATGTGGCTTTCTGATTATTTCTGTTTGGGCTTACACTCTACACAATGTTATGTTCTGTTGCTTCTGTGCACTAAGCACACTGCCCTCCTATGTATTTATGAATTTCCTTAAAATATGCCTGGTAATGCTTCCAACTATAACATTTTCAGCTGACACGGGGCAGTCATTCTCACATACAAAGTGTTGCTTTCTACATCTCTTCTTCACCATTCCGCATGTTACCACATCGGTGGCTAGTGTCAGTGTTTGCAGTGCTTTCCTGTAGACAACTAAGCAGTGCAGCTGAGCTGTTATGTCTAGCCTTTTACAGCAGCTTATCTTTCTTATTAGTAAATAAAACTCAAGCCTATTACAGTTGGAGGGCTGAGATTAAAAGACAGATCCGTTACATTTACAGCCTAACACTTAGAACTGCACTTGCTGAGCAGAAGTTTGCCCAGGAGTTTTTCAGGCCACCCAGACTCAATTTACCAGCAAGTAGCTACAGGTTAAACATGTGAAGTTCCCATGGACTCATGTCCCAAGTACCAGAGGCAAGGCTAGAAAAAACTAGGATTCACACATTTACCCAATAGGTTTGGTTATGTTGTGTTTTAATGCTTCTATAAAACAGACACAGAACACTGTCTCAGAAAGCAGCTCATCTCTTAGAAGCTCTAACTAGAAAGTAACATTTTGTTAGTAATAAGAAATAAAATTTACATTGATTCAAAGTATTTGTCCTTAAAAGCAAACATTTCTTATGCCAAGAAATACAGTTAAATCTTAAAAGTTTGTTGGTTTGGGTTTTATTTAAGTTTTACTTGTTTGGGAAATCACTCTCCTTGTGATTATTTTCTGTCATCCATTTCTTTAGTTCTTTCTGGCCTGCCTTATTTCTGTTTCACGGAAATCTCTATAAATCTTGCTCCTAAACTTTCTGGTCTGCTCCTTTGGCTGAGTACTCTGTAGAGAAACTTTGCAGCTCCCTTCCCTGTTGAGTTTTTTTTTGAGAAACAAAATGGATAATGAGAGAAGGTCACAGAAGACTGGAATAAAAAAGTAAAGAAGGGGACTAACTGAGAAAAGGCTTCAACTCTTCTCTTTCAGAAAGGTCAGGAGAGTTTGCTTTGAAAGGTTAACGACACACACTCATCTTTTTTTATTATTGCACAGCCCATATTTGACTGATTAAATTGTAAAATGCACTGTTACTATGCAAAAGTAATACTATGTGTACTAGCTAATTAGAATTCAGGACTTAAAATGCTGTCTTAAAACAAATGCCAAGTGTTTTTAGTAATATTCTGTAACCATACTTTAGTTCTGAGGCTCTGTAGCTCCTGTCACAGTAAGTTACATCATTAAAGCATCTGTGTTGGTGTGAACCAGCACTTTATAATTAATTTACCAGCGTTCAGTCAGTTGGATTGCTACTTAATTGGCTGAGTATTTCTAGCCATATGAAGTTCTTGTTCTCAGAAGTACAGTGCGTATGTGATAACATACTGTTCTCTTTCAGCAGATATCAGGATCTCACCATGCGAATCAGCCATGTTAATGACAGAATGAAACCCACTCCCATCACCCTTTTTCAAAATCAATCCTTAAAATGAAAGGCTAGGCTGTTAATGTCTCTTGTTTACCCTTAAATGATCTTATGTTTTAAAAACCATTTATCAGGAGATGAACTTAATTGTATTCCAATCATATCACTCGGGCAACAACTCACAAGGGAGTGTAAGTCATTTCTCTGTGATTCAAGGGGCACCTTTGAAGATCAGGTTAACTCGTTTAGTAAAAGAAGTGTAAATTTAGAAACTTCACATTAGGCAGTCATTTTAAAAGCAAGTTTGTCTTTGGAGATCAATAAGGAGATTGTAGGCCTAGCAAGGTAGTTATTGGACCAAATTTAGTTTGCTGAAGAGCTGCTTAACAGTTCTTAGTAAAGGAAAGAAAAAACAGTAAGGAAAGGATGTAAGAAATCACGGAAATTGGGATGTGTGTAAGAAGTTTGGGCTGAAGTAGAGTCATGCTTATGCTAACAAATACTGAAGGAACCCAAGCTTTGAGGTTTAATGACGTAACCATAATAAATGATTGAAGCGGATGATAAGCAATACAGGCTCCCTAGTAAGGAGAGCAGCCCCATCAAGCTGCTTTTGTAGAGCAAGACATCTGGGACTGAGGACCTGATGCCCCCAGTCTGTGTATTTCTGAGTTTCCTCCAGCCTGGCTCCTTTCTGGCCCTCTAGACCGAGTGCCTCTTAGTTGTTGGAGCATGTTGGGTGCACTCTGAACTTCCCAGTGGAGTTTCATCGAAAAGGAATTCAGTTTGTGTACTCCCAGCCTACTTGGCAATATAAACAAAAGTTAATGAGGATGATCCTTAAAGTACCCTCATGACCTGAGCTAATGCACTGGTAAGCATACCTGTACAAACTTAAGAGGGAAACAGTCCCAAAGTTTTAAAACCGTGGAGTTGAAACCATGTAAAAGAATAGCAAAACTTGGCAAAATGTCTCCAGATGCCAAAGTGCCCCAGGAATAATTTTAGTGAAATATCTAGAAAACTACAAGTTTGTACTATGGTCCAGTCAGAACTGGGAACTTTTATTCCACTAATAAAGGATATAACCATTAGACAGAGATTAAATTGGTAACACCCAATTTAGAGGAAATGGCATAATGGGAGTTGTGAAAAATAAGCAGTCATGAATAAAAAGAGGAGTTACTGGCTGTCAGGCATTATTGTTGCTCCTGGTATTGTCTGTATTTATGATCACACAGGTTTAAAGGTGTTACTAGGGAAAAACTTTGCAAGGCTTTTTGATTTAAAATCTCACTCTGCAATAAGTCTCTGAATGTTTTAATCTTATTTATTAGCATAGGAAAGAAGTATCTAAAAATTGATATAACAAGTAACAAATGGATTCAATGAACCAGAAAGTGTATGTTGGTTTTGATGATAACAATATTCTGAGATTTTTTCATCTTTTATTATAATATCAATGGATTACATGGAAGCAGCTTGGTCCCAATTTAACATCTTTGTGACATGATTTTGTTGGCCAGTAGTTACATTCCTGCTTTAGAGGAGTAAGAATGGATGAAAGGTTTCTTCTCAAGGGTAGAATGTTTCTGCTGGGAAGGGTGATGCTTTTCTCTTGTAATTTTTTTTTCCCCCTCTTTTGTTAAAGGATCTTTTCCATTCTTAAGGTAGGTTTCAAAGGGAAAGTGTTACTCTGTTTTGAGGTGCCTAGAACCCCTGGATAATTGTCTGGTTTTGAAGTCCTCTGTTGAGGTTTAAATTAAGAGCAAGCTAATGCTCTAAAAAAATTTTGGCAGCGGTTTCAAAGCAAGCTGAATTGATCTATTAGAAAGTATTTCTGCGTATTGCAATTAAGGCTTGAGCCTTACTATTTCTTTAATTGGTACCATTAGAATAAGAACAATAAATTTTATCTTGCAAAACAATAGTAGAATAGCCACTTCAGTGCTGACATCAATATTAGCATATGTACAGACCTTTTGTGTGGTAGCATTACAGTTTCTGGCAATTGAGACACATATCCAAAATGAACTACTTTAGGTTGTAGGAACATTTCTGAGTAGCACATTTCCTCTTCACCCATTTCATAACTGTTAAATTACTACTTAGTTTAACATCTACTCTGATATGTCATGCAGTGATTCAAAAAAGGATTAAAAAAACCCTTTTGTGGGTTATAAGTATCATGCTTTCCTTGAGGTGTGTGTTCTGTCATCGTGCCAGGTAATGCATTTTAATAACCAAGTTCTTGATTTTTGCAGGATACAAAATACCAAAGTGCTTTCTTCAAGGCTGTAGCAATGCCTAAGTTGTTATGTGAAAGACAGTTGATCTGATGATGGCATCATACTAAATAGGAGCACTTCATTCAGTTCCTAATATAAAGAAAGGTTTACAGCTTTATTCAGGGAATTGACTTAATGAAGAGATAACATGAACCTTTCTTTTCAGCAGCAGTTCAGCACACCGTAACAAAATTTGGAAAAACAGAT